TGGGGAGCTGAAACTGTGATTGTCTACGGTGAGGTCACAAAGCTTCCTGCTGCCAAACAACGCGATTGGCCGTTGCTTGGCAAGGCAGTTAGACAGTTGGAAGTGTACAGCTCTCCCCCCAGCTTGTGTGGGGTTTTACCATGAGGTTACTGTTGAGTAATGGTGATGGAGCAGCGTCTGTGTTTTGATTCAGTTGGGCCTCGATCGTCACGAGGAAATGACTCTGAAAAATCCCCTCAACTAAAAATAAGATTAATGCAAAAACAAACACAGGCAGTGGGTCATACGGAATACAGAGGAGAAAAACACGTGGAGATATCAATGTGATGATGATGATATATCAGATGGGTGCTCTGTAATCTGTTTTGCTAAAGAATAATTATGTTAACCTGTTCATGGTGACCAGCTAAACGTGACCGCTGTATTCATGCATGCAGACAAATGCACTTACACTCTTTCAGCCTGAGCTGAGAAGAGACATACGCTAGTACTGCTTCAGCAAATTCCTGGCCATCCTGAACTGAATCGCATTCCAGAAGGTAATTTGCCGCTCTGCGATCTCTAAAAGCATTACTGTAGTGAGGGGCTATCATCAGATCTGCTGAAACGGGAGGGAGGCCAGGAAAGCCATTCCTGACCGTGACAACAACTATTTCATATGTCCTATTGTGCTGATAATGTGACAATGTGAAATTTTAGACTTTGAGAAAAACTGTATTGCTTAAGGTTGCTCTTTCAGAGATATGAAGACTTAATAGAGGTGATTTCTCTAAATTGTCAAAATCAGGGGCGTAGATTACGAGGGGGATGCGGGGGACATGTGTCAACCCCCCCCCCCCAGACTTCTTTATAAAACATTAAAAATCGTACTGTTCAAAAACTGTTGACTGGTAGGTTATATAGATTACAGAAATGTTATATTGTAATGTTATATATATATACAGTATATAAAACATTTCTGTCCCCCTCACTTCTGAAATGATGGCTACGCCCCTGGTCAAAATACTTTCACTTTATAATCAGGGAAACCATTCGCAGGGTGACTTCCCCAAAAAGTGTAAACACTGTATCTCTGTGGTGCTATCAAAATGTTAATCTGTTTGTTTTAGACCAGCACGACACGGCAACATTGACTCAACCAATGGTTTGAAGTTTGGGGCAGGGCTAGCTCTTTGACTGACAGATGGCAGAAAGGGGGAAAAGTCATTATTTCTCAGAGGCTTCTCTGAAAATTCCCTGAAAATAGACAAAATGTTAGTTGACATACAATAAGAGTTATAAACTACCGTTCAAAAGATTGGGGTCACTAAGATTTTTTTAATTTAAAAAATGTATTTTACTATATATTAAAATGTAATTTATTCCTGTGATGCAAAGCTGAATTTTCAGCAATATTACTCCAGTCTTCAGTCTCCCATGATCCTTCAGAAATCATTCTAATATGCTGATTTGTTGCTCAAGAAACATTACTCTATTGATGTTGCAAACAGTTGTGCTTTTTGTGGAAACTTTGATACATTTTTTTCAGGGATTCTTTGGTGAAGTTAAACAGAATTGATTTGAAATAGAATTTTTGTAACAATGTAAGAGTGTGTCAATTTAATGCATGCTTGCTCAATAAATGTATAAAAAAATCTTACTGAACCCAAATGTTCTAAAAGTAGTGTAAATTGTATATATAAAAAGAGTTAATAAATTAATTAGAATAGCCTAGATCATTTAGAGTTGAGAAATGTTAATGAAAAATATTTGATTATAATGTTTTGGCAAATCATAGTTTGAAATATCTATGAGTTCTTCGTTAAAAATAAATAAATAAAAAATCAGAGGAGCAGGAAACTTGATCAAAATTCTCCATTTAATCCCATTGGTGTCTAGAAGAAACAATTATAAAGTGATTTATGTCTTTTTTTTTCCTATGGAGAAGATTGACAGCTGTGCTTTCAATTTTAGCTGCATATTTAAAGCCTTCTATGATTCAGCCTTTTAATGTTGATATGAAATGAGTCATATCCGTTATCTGCTTTTGGCTGGCGTTATTTGCATACAGGATCAAAGCAAGACCAAACAATCCGAACAAACATTTCAGGAGCAAAAGCATCTCATTTACTTACATCTCAGGTGCTCATGCCCTGACAGAGACGTGCTGTGAGCTCTCCATAAGCCAAGCTCTGCTTTCAGGTAATAATCAGTGCTGAAGTGCACAGAGAAGGTGACTCAATATAGCGGGCCGCAGCCATTAAACCAGCTCTATTACATCAGCCTGAGTGAGTCCCACTTGGGGCTAGCAGTGCATTGTATAAGAAGATGATGTACAAGACTTAATGTGGATGTGAAGAAAAAGGCACTATTCTGACATGCATAAAGCACTCTAATTTGCTGCCTGAATGACAGTAATCAAACACCGTTTGCTTATCTGTCATTCCTTGAAGTTCTATTTATTCATGCATTTGACTTTATTTTTATGGTTTTCTTTCTAAAGCGAGGCATCTCTGAGTATTTTTCATTTCTGCTCTCCAGGGGAGTCGTGCATATCTTAATCTCGAAGAGAGTTCAGATCTCTGAGTCATCAAAACAGAGTGCCAGCATTGTGATTGAACTGAACAAAAACAGGATTCTGAGTAAAAAAAAATCAACACCACACAAGCACAAAAGCCAATTTATGAATCACACACATTAATCTGCAAATTTATGACTCGAGCGTTAGAAGAAGCGTTAGCAAACTCTTGAGCAGCAACAACAGTACCATGTACTCCGCCATTGTTGTGTATGTTTGCTCGCGCTTGCCTTTAAAATCGACACGTACTGCTCATGTCTACATACCTAACACATGCATGACGTCACCGTTTTCAAAGATTCCCGTATTGGGTGTTTACACGGAAACGATAACGGTGGCGTTTTTAAAAACTTGCACTTTGAAACCCATTTTCAAAAATATGCGTTTTCAGTCCCCAAAATGTCGTTGTCTTGTAAATGAACAGGCAAAACGTATAAAAAGTTTCCAGTTTTTGGCTGAAAACGTTGTCGTGTAAACGGCCCCTAAGTGTTAAAATATATTTGGAGCCAATATCCACCTTATATTTCAATGCAGAAGTAAGCAATTTTTATTGAATGTGCAAGACTTCTAATTCATTAGCTGCTATACTAGGTAAACAACTAGAAAAATAAAGTGTAGTAGTAAAACCGTTTGCAAGACAAACCAGTGTGTTTCTAATTATGACAATATTAAAATAATATGATGAGAAATAACAGTTGGCAATATCAAGCAGCATAATGAGCTTTTTTGAACAGCTAAAAAAAAATAACTGGAAGTGAATGACACTGGAAGCCTTGAGCATTCAATTTAGAAACGGCCGTGCACATTATATGTTAAAAATAAGATGAATACTTGGTCACTTCATGTGTTTTGATCAATTGCTATCTAATTGGATATGCACATTCTATTTACGCTTGGCCATGTAAATGTGTCTCCGCAGAATGCATATACATACAACCTTCCCACGCTTTTTTGCAAATATAACACAGTTAACTTCCGTGATGATGCTAATGACAGGCAGCAAAATTCTCTGTTAAACACCCTCTTCAGCCCATGTGTCAATTAATGTTTTGAGTTGTTTTAGTTGCTCCATCCATGTCTCTCATCCACGTGTCCCAAACTTCTGTATACTGATGCTGTTTTTTGTTTGGGAGGAGTAACGTTTACATATGCGGCCTGAACAAGCAGATGCATTTACACTTGGATGAGTTGCGTCTTTGTATGCGTTTCAAACCACCTCCTGAGGGAGTCTGAGTGATCAGATTACTATATGTCTCAAATGGGTCTTTGAGGGCACTTACACTTGGTCTATACTACTTAACTATACAATAAGTAAAGATGAAGTGTCAACTATACAATAAGTAAAGATGAAGTGTCCAGGTGTGAAAGCCCCCTAATATGGGTTTACATCAGTTTTTTTGTTGATGTTTAGGCGTATATCCAAAGGGCGGGGAAAATACAGAAGACAGGGAGAGCAAGTGCCATTCAAACAATAATCTGCACGGGAAAGAGAGGACAAGAGACATGGGGGATGGGTCTGCAAGTCTTTTATCTCAAGTTTCCCACATCCTGCCGCCGAATTTAAAACTGGCCACCCAATTTGAAAGAATGCCTGGTATGGGCCTCATTTCCATAGCGACCAGCATTGTTCTCCTTTTGAATAAAGCCTGTTGCCTGCCAATGGGAGGAGAAAAAACTTTGCGCGCTAATTTGAGATTAATGAGGTGATGCAGTGCACGCGGTCTTCATATACACTTTGTAAACCTACTTCACATGACAGATGACAAAAGAGCTGTCCATTGGGATGATGATGCATTTGTATGTACAGAAAAGGAAAACGTGGGTTGCATTACACTGCAGAATTTTTTTAAATATGTAAGTTAATGCTGTCTCTTCCTCTTTCATCATGTGAAATGATTGTGTTCCTTGAATGCTAAATACAAGGAAAACTTTCAAGTTGCACATTGACTTATACTGTTACTGTACTAAAGTCCATTTCTATCTATCTATGCTTAAAAATATATTTTTATATTATATATGTATATATTTGTACATATATAATATGCATCTTTTCAATCATTTTACAAGATTGTATATATATATAAAGCATGCATCTATTTTTGTAATACTCTTCATACTTCTCTGAAATAATACCCCGAATCTGCAACTGCGACTTTTGTTATATATATATATATATATATATATATATATATACACACACACAGCCATGTGAATCATTCTCCCTGTCTGCCCCACGCCGGCTAAACGCCCTCAAAAAAAGCCTCGACTATTTGGCGCGTTTTGATTCCCGCCACGTCTACGTTTTCCTTTATTTTCATGTTTGATTGACTTTTTCTGCAGAGGCAGGCGTATTAGTCATTGGCTGAATCGTGTTTGTGGGCGGGGCCACCATTGACGTACGAGCAGCCACCCCTCCCTTTTACTACTGGTGTATATAACGGCTCTTGCCCCTCCCTCACGATTTAGAAAGCCGGGTATTTGTGTTCATCACGCACCTCAGACGATAATATTTATCTTGAAGATATATTAATCATTTATTTATTTTATTTCATATTCTAAACTGGAATAGACCTTGCGCGGTCGATTAAAGTTCGTCTTGAGAATCAATACCCATCGAGCCTAGATGAGAAGGGATTTCTACAGGCTTCTAGACCGGATCCCTCAAGTAGACCTTCCCTACATCCATCTATACACGACGGATTTTGACCTCAACATTGGAATACACCTCAAGCAGAATTCGCATTTCGGATTATAGAATGCTTCTATCAAAATTCAACACATTTGCTCACATTTCCACCGTGGACATGCCGGCGAAAATCCAGCTTCAAGGTTAGAGGACGGTGATTCTCGTGCTCGAGTATCTGTGTGTGTGTGTGTGTGTGTGTGTGTGTGTGTTGTGGTCTTGGGCTCGTTTACTTCAGCAGACTTGAGTGTTGGGAATAGCGTGCGTCAGATTTCCAATTATGATACAATTTTACGTCTTTTATCAATTCTAATTAATCTATCATATCTTTTATCGACAGTTAAGGAGAAAGAGCCGTTCGAGAAGGCGTATCAGGTCGGTTCTGTGCTGGGAAGCGGCGGTTTCGGAACGGTGTATGCGGGTTTAAGGATCGCCGATGGCGCGCCGGTAGGTTCCCCAATGGATGATTTTTGTACATAAGCGTGAACGTTTAGAATATTCATAACGTGTGTGTATAATATAAATAGTGTATAATATATCAATTCACTGCTTAATAATGCATTTATTTATCATTTCTAGGTTGCCATCAAGCATGTTGCTAAAGATCGTGTGACTGAATGGGGAGAGCTGGTGAGTACTTAATTAAATAGATTATATTCATATTATTTGTGTCTAAAATATCGCATATAAATAATATATGACAGCGTCACTAAAACGAACACGTCCTCCGTTTCCAGCCCAATGGCGCGCGCGTCCCGATGGAGATCGTCCTGTTAAAGAAGGTCGGCACCGGATTCCGTGGCGTGATCAAGATGCTGGACTGGTACGACCGACCGGACAGCTTCATTATCGTCATGGAAAGACCGGAGACCGTCAAGGACTTGTTTGATTTCATCACGGAGAAGGGCGCGTTAGCGGAGGAGCTCGCCAGGAACTTTTTCCGCCAGGTTCTGGAAGCGGTGCGTCATTGCCACAACAACGGCGTCGTTCACCGTGACATCAAAGACGAGAATATTCTTATCGATCTACGAACCGGTGATCTGAAGCTCATCGACTTTGGATCGGGGGCATTACTCAAAGACACCGTCTACACCGATTTCGACGGTAAGAGACATTTGCATGACCTTCAAGCCAGGGTTCCCACGGTCACCGAAAACGTGGCGTGGTCGGGGAAAATTAAAATACGTGCTTATCTGGCCTCATGGAAACTTGTGTCGTGGATATAAAATATTTATTTAAAAAAAAAATCTCTTTAATATTAGTATGGCTTTGTGAGTGGAAAAGTATATAAACAAAACAAAACTATAGGCTAGAAATTGCTTGATGTATTTTTAAATACGTTTAAGCATTGAAATTCGATGGTTGTAATGTTTGGGAATCCTGTCAAGCTCTAAAAAGGGTGTATGTTTATATATCGAGGCGATGTTTTTACATTTTAAAACAAATTTATCAAACATATCTGGCATGAGTCAGTTGATAAATGTGTATTATGACCCCCTTTCGTCGTTGACTACCCATGCCAAGCTTAACAAATCGGTCGGCATGAAGATTTGTTTATTTTTGTATAATGTTGCTTTGGAGAAAAGTCATTTTGCTGGGTTGTGGGTTTGGCGCCCCCGCCGGTGGGAAATGGAATTATTACAACTCAAAGTTTGTAAACACAAGTCACATGGCAACCAGTTTCTCCACATGCGTGTGCCTGCTGTCACACTCCCGAGCACATGACTGTGCACATTAATGTTGAGCCATAACAGTAATGTTCAAACACGACACACCTTTTTCCTGCCACACCTTTTACTACAGTGTTTGGTTTAGTGTCTTGTTTTGTCAGTTACTAAAATGAAGAGTTATATGCAGTTTTGTTGCATTTTTGTGTTTCAGTGTTGCAGAATCATGAATTTAAATGCATTTTTCTGTTTTCTGTTCTCTATTCAGGTACACGTGTTTACAGTCCACCAGAGTGGATCAAATATCATCGCTACCACGGTAGATCTGCGACCGTGTGGTCTCTGGGCATCCTGCTGTACGACATGGTTTGTGGGGACATCCCATTCGAGCAGGACGAAGAGATCGTACGTGGGCAGGTGCTGTTCAGGCGGAGAATCTCAGCAGGTAAGACTCACAGATCACATGACGCCACCTTCTTAGAGGTTTATGCGTTTACTGCAATGCTATAATCACACATCCTGTTGTTTTACAGAGTGCCAGCAGCTTATCAAGTGGTGCCTGGCCCTCCGCCCTGCAGAACGCCCTTCTTTCGAGGATATAATCAACCACCCTTGGATGCAGAACACGGTGCCCCCTACGGACAACACTGAGATCAGACTGCACAGCATCAACCATGAGCATCAGCCCGCTGCTTTCCCGGCAGTCACTGTGTGTAAATGACTGTCTGAATGCATACATAGAGACTTTCCATTACAGCAGCAAACCACCCAGGGGACCTGCGGACTGAGCAGTGCAAAAAAAAAACACATGTTATTCTTTTGTTTTGAGCATTGCTGCTAGGTGGGAGTTCAAGGCTAGGCCAAAAAAAAGGGAGAGGTCCACCTTTTAGTGAGATTTGTTATCTCTCGTCTCCTGCCCATCTGTGGCTCAGGGTCCCATAAGTCTGGTTCGTAGTAACCAAATGACTGTCAACACTGCTGTTGGACACTGGTAGATTGAGAAGCCCATCTCAGCCAGTGGGAGGAGCTCTGGGACGTCCGACGCAGCGGCCGCGAGGAGTCGTGCTGTGATGAGGGCCGATCTGCTACGCTTTAGTGCGACGTCAGGGCTGTTCCTTTAGGAAGCAGATCAGCCGAGCTTAATAATTTTAGTGCCTTCTGTGCAAGATCAAGGTTTTGTTTTTTTGGAAATACTTGAATTGAGTAGCCACTGTAACACTGTACTCCTTTACCTTTCTTGCTTCCACTTAACCCGCTTCAGGCAGGTAACTGTCGGTCTTACTCTAATACGTCAGAGAGAGTAACCAAATCGACCTCACAAACTTCTGCAGAAAGAAAAGTCTTACCTCACTCTTTCAAACCGCGGTTTCTTTTTCCTCTTTCTTTTGTACTGAGTAACCCTCAACAACTACCACTCATTGTCACAGATGCACAAAGCAATGCAACTACAACTTAAAAGACTACATTTTCTGCATATTATTTTTGTCGTTTTGGTCAGATGACTCAATTCCATGACAAGACTTATGCGTAAATTATATTTATTGGAGTGTCTTAAAAAAAACAGATGGAAGTGGAAGTATTTATTTATTTATTTATAGAGAAGCAATTTTCTGCAAAGTTTTTCTCATTCCACCACCGAAGGGCCCACAAATTATTTAAATGTATTTTTACCATATTTAAAGCCTTTTTTGAGAACGATATGTACATATGTTGTAAATAATCTTCCAAAGCACTTCTGTTTCTCGATGCATGGAGCACTGCTGATGGTAAACCATACCAGTCTGAAGTCATGTTTGTCACCTAATTTAAACTGTCTGCTGTGCATATGTTGGAGGAAATGACCTCATGAATGTTTGAGGAACGAGTGATTTTACATGGGTTTTTTTTTCCACCTTTAGTAGGCATGATTGCAACTCTGGTTTTGTTTTTCTGATTTAGCAATGTAAATTATGTTTAGAAAGCTATTTTTTTACACAATTGTCAATAAATATTTTTTTAACATTCATTCTGGTTTCCCTTGTATGAATTGCATTGTTCGATTCACTATAGCAATACCAGTAGGTGGTCTTATAAACTGATTTAAGCAATCAGCAGATGTCATCTGAGAAGTGGACAGATTGCGATGGTATTAGCTGTAAATCCATTTAACTAACTAATAATGCTCTTATCGTTTTATATTGATAGTGTATCTTTAATCTGAGGTGATTAGGACCACAGGGGTCCAGATTTCTTAATACTGGACTTTTGAACCGGATACATGTGATCATGGCTAACAGCATATACTGTATCTGTGTTTTTGTAGATAGCGCCAGGTATGCTTTAAATAGCATTATAAAGATACCGTTCCCTGAGAAGTTCAAAGAGCTGTACATAAAGCTTGAATGTGAACGCCCACTTGCTCAGCAGCCTTGGTTCCAGCAGTATTTTTCCCATTCATTTTTTTCCATAAGCATTTAGAAGAAATTTTTCATTCAAAACCTCTGAGCCGTGAACCAAAAACAACCAGCTCTGAGATGAATCACTATATTGTGAAAAGTAAAAAGAAAAAAAGTCAGCTTATAGTCTTTAATATATATATATATATATATATATATGTGTGTGTGTGTGTGTGTGTGTGTGTGTGTGTGTGTAAATTATATAATCATAATTTATTGACTCTATTAAACCAGTATTAGACATTTGTAGGTTTTAGTCTATGTTTATAGCTTCAGGGTCATTTATATGCCTGTGTTCTCCTAAAAGCTGATAAACGGTTTAAATATTTCCAGTCTTTTAGGAAAACAGACCAAAAATATTGATGACTTATCTCACCCTCAGGGGCATACACAAATATTTACCCAATGAAATGCTCTCTCAAGCCACCTGATTCTGTTTAGCAATAGCAAATAGCAAAAAATAATGTAAACTAAAGCCTATTGGCTATTTAAAACGTCCTGTCTCAATAAGAAATATATCAGGAAAGAAAATGTTGCCACTCAGGTAAGTCTGTTTAAAAATATTTGTCATCATTAAAAAACAATTTATTTGAATGAAATTATATTGTGGAACCCTTCTGTTGTGCCCCATAATTGTTCAAAGTTAAACAGAGGTATAATAATGCATTCTCCACCTGTGAGCAGTTTCACATTGTGCCAGATAAATAAGTCTGCTTTGTTGAATCGTTTCTCCTCTTATGTACCGTACAACTCAGGAGAGCATGGGGTGACTTGACCTAGGCTGCGTTTCCCAAAAGCATCGTAACCCTAAGAAGATTGTAGAACCATTGCCACCAATGGTCTCTACGATCAACTTAGCTTACGATGCTTTTGAGAAATGCAGCCCTGAACCTTTCGTGGGCCCATAACTGCTGCCCTCCCTATGAGGACACACACAACACAAGCAGGGAACGTTCTTGTTAAGCCCTTCATTAATCCTCTCACAAAAACCTCCTCAGTATTTACACTGCAGCTCTAAATGAGTTACAATGCGCGCATATGACCCGAGGCGCACCTGATCAGTCGGCATCCGCAGGGGTATGCAACTAAACCTGACATGGGCCGATTTAAGAGGGAAACAACGCCTGATTCATTCACACATCTGGGCTTGAGCTTTGACATATGACCAGAGCACAGTCAAAGTATCTGAATTTAGTGGAAACCAAGTTTAATGTTCGTCAATATGGGATAATGTTTCAGAAATGTACATGCTTACAAATAAAGGTTTTTCAATAGTTCTTCAAAGAACATTAGGTTCAAAATTCTTCTGCAGCTCTCAAATCTTCAAAAACAGATTCAAAATTCATGCACCAATGCCAGGTTTCACTTCATTGACTTGGAGATCGAAATTTTGACTTTTAGGTCTGTTCTTAACAAAAAAGATATTATGGCTTCAGGAGGCACGGATATAGAATGCTGATATGATGGTTTTATAGGCCAACTCAGAAGTTTGCATCACCCTGGTTCCCTAGACAAAAAAAAAACGATGGGACTTTTCTGTTGGCTTTTGGATTAATGCAGCAAATAAGCTCTGTGACCAACAAAAGTTTATGATTCTTAAACATTTGGTTCATCATGACAACCTTCACAAATGAATGCAACTTTTATGAATTTTGAAGCCAAAAGTAAAAAAATAAACCCCTCAGGGCGACCCAGATACGGTAGACCAGTCAGGGTAG